CCCCCAGGAGACAGGACACTCGCTAACAAGCTTTTACTTCAACATTTTTAAAAAACATTTTTTTAGAACTTCCAGCCAAGGTGGAGGGGCAGGTAGACACACTGTGCCTCCTCGCACAACCAAAATAAGGACAACAACAATTTAGAAAGAAAAAACAACCAGAACTGACAGAATATTGAACTGTATGGAAGTTCGACAACCAAGGAGTTAAAGAAGAAACATTCATCCAGACCAGTGGGAAGGGAAAAGTTGGTGGCCCGGCAGAAAGGAGTCTCAGCAAAGCAGTGGCTGGCAGACCCCAGGTGCACAGGGCAGCAGCTGATGGATCCAGCGAGGTGGTGGATTGTGGAGTGCAGTGTGGCGCACAAGCAGCTGGTGGAGTGGGTGCGCCCAAATTTATGCGCAGATAAACCAGGCAAAACTGGAGAGCAAGACAGACCACGCAACCCAGGGTCCCAGAGTAGGGAAATAAAGCCTCAAAACACAGATTTAAAGCATCTGTGGGTGTTGAGGTGCCGGGAGACACTCCCAGCCTCACAGGAGAGGTCATTGGACAGACACAAGGTCCTGGAATATACACAAACCCACCCACGCAGGAATCAGCACTAGAAAAGCCCAATTTGCTTGGGAGAAGCGGGGGAAGTAACTGAAAGCTGGCAGAGAATGGGCAAGTGCCATTGTTCCCTCTCGGACCCCGCCCCCACATACAGTGCCACAACCCAGCCACTGGGTTGCCCAGCCCTGGTGAACATCTAAGGCTCTGCCCCTCACTATGTAACAGGAGCCTTGAGACAAAAAAAAAAAAAAAAAAAAAAAAAAAAAAAAAGGCCCAAATGAAAGAACAGATCAAAGCTCCAGAAAAAATGCAACTAAGTGACAAAGAGATAGCCAACCTATCAAGTGCACAGTTCAAAACACTGGTGATCAGGATGCTCACAGAATCAGTTGAATCTGGTCACAAATTAGATGAAAAAATGAAGGCTATGCTAAGTGAAATAAAGGAAAATGTACAGGGAACCAATAATGATGGGAAGGAAACTGGAACTCAAATCAATGGAGTAGACCAGAAGGAAGAAACATCCAACCAGAAAATGAAGCAACAAGAATTAAAAAATATGGGGAGAGGCTTAGGAACCACCAGAACACTTTTAAACATTCCAACATGTGAATTATAGGGGTATCAGAAGAAGAGGAAGAGAAACAAGTGGAAAATTTATTTGAACAAATAATAAAGGAGAACTTCCCCATTCTGGCAAAGGAAATAGACTTCCAGAAAGCTCAGAGAGTCCCAAAGAAGTTGGACTTGAGGAGAAATACATCAAGGCACACTATAATTACATTACCCAAGATGAAAGATAAGGAGAGAATCTTAAAAGCAGCAAGAGAAAAGGAGACAGTTACCTACAAATGAGTGCCCATAAGACTGTCGGCTGACTTCTCAAAAGAGACCTTACAGACAAGAAGGGGCTGGAAAGAAGTATTCCAAGTTATGAAAGGCAAGGACCTCCATCCAAGATGGCTCTATCCAGCAAAGCTACCATTTTAGAATGGAAGGGCAGATAAACTGCTTCTCAGATAAGGTCAAGTTAAAGGAGTTCATCATCACCAAACTCTTATTTTATGAAATGTTAAAGGGTCTTATCTAAGAAAAATGAGAAGATTGAAACTCTGAACAGTAAAATGACAACAAACTCACAACTATCAACAATTGAACCTAAAAAACAAAAACAAAAATGAACTAAGCAAACAACTAGAACAGGGACAGAACCATAGAAATGGAGATCACATGAAGGGTTATTAACAGGGGAATAGGAGGGGGAAAGGGGGTAAAAGGCACAGAGAATACGTAGCATAGATGGTAGGTACAAAATAGACAGGGGGAGGGTAAGAATAGTACGAGAAATGTAGAAGCCAAAGAACTTATATGTATGACCCATGGACATGAACTAAAGGCGGGGAATGTAGGTGGGAGGGGGGCAGGGTCGAGAGGAGTGAAGGGGGAAAATGGGACAACTGTAATAGAATAATCGATGAAATATATTAAAAAATAAAACTAATAAAAAAGGGGAAAAATTGAACAAAATGTCATCCTCAGGACATATAAAACTAAATGAGCAAAGACAAAAAATTCATAAAAAATCAATTATCCATTTAGTCACTTTGAAAAATCTATCTTGCAACCCAGAGTCTCAGGGAATGTCAAAGCTCTAGATAAATTTTTAATAAACTGGAAAGGATAATGTTAAAGAAGAGACCTTTTCAAAGGTGAGCTCAGTCGGCCCAAAGGTTGTGGGTTTATTGCTAAAGAAACCACGCACCCACACAAAGGCGAGCTGGCGACAGACGAGGTGTGGTAACAGTTCTCAGCAAAGGGCGTGAAGCTGCTGATGGGAGCTGAGGGCAGGTGACCCTCTCCTCAGACGAGTTAGATGCTTGAGACTCCAGGAGAGGGTCCCAGTGGGGTCTTTGGAGACATGTCTATTTCAACCGTTGGTGATTTTATCCAGTGTTACGGGTTTAAATTACATCTATACGCCAGTGATTCACAAATGTATCCTCCCAGTCCCCGAATGCACCCATCCCGAAACCGATCGTCCAGCTGCCTCGTTAGTATCTCCACTTCAATGTCTAATGGCAATGAAACCTCAGAGTCCAAAACCCAATTCCTGACAGTCCCCCTTAAACCTGCTCCTGCTGCAAACTTCCCCTCTCAGTTGACGGCAACTCCACCTTTGTAGCTGGTCAGCCCTGAAATCCCGGGGTGCTTCTGGGCCCTCTTTCTTTCGCACCCTACATCCGACCCATCAGCGAGTCCCGTTGGCTTCACCTTCCACAGACACCAGAACGGGAGGCCTCCCTGCACCACTGGCACTACCACCCTGATTAGCCACCGCTGTCTCCACCTGGGTTCCTCACAGGTCTCCCTGCTTCCACCCTCGCCCCTCCGAAGTCCAGTCTGAATTCAGGGGACAATTCCAAATGCGCACATGGGGACACAGTAGGGTAGGGGCAGCTGTGACATGAGAAGGGGTGTGCAGGGGAAAGCATATTCCTGGGTCCTAAAAGCCCATCACTAGAAATCTGCATCTTAGAACACTTTGTTCTGCAAGGAAACAGCGAATCCCCACTCAAGCCAGTGGAGTTATTTTGTTTGGCTCTAGACCCACCCACCAGACATACCTTTTGTTCTGTTTCAACTGATTAGAGAAGGGGTCTTGAACCGCAGAAAGACAGCTACTATTATGACCGAAAAGGCGGCACAAGCAGCTTCTCTAATGATCAGCTTTGAACAGGATGGAAGAAACTGTAGAGACTTTCAAATCTCCCTCTGCGGCGCCTCGGGTCTTCCACCAAGCTCATTAAGACACTAGGGGAGAGTGTGACCAGACCCTCCCCACCAAGGCAAATCCACACGATCAGCTTTGTACACTAGTGTCCCCCATCAGACTTCATCTGAAGGCGTACTCAGTAGCAAGCTCTGAAAACCCACCAAGAGAAGTAACACCCAAGAGAAAGGGCCAAGACAGAAGTGGGAAACAGAAGCTGCGGAAAAACTTGGGCAGGCCGGCCTACATGACCACCCTCCAGCGGTGCTCCTCCGCTGGAGGAGGACTGCGAAACGTGACTGGGCAACACGGCCAGATTTAACACGCACACTGGAGTATATAACGCACCGCCACTTTTGTTCTTTAAACATGAGCAGGACCCGTCCTCTCGTGCAGGCCTACGACTGTGGAGTTACCCCCAGGGAAAGGGACTCGGCTTGGCCGTGGCCTTTGCTCTCACATATGAAGCCAGAAGGTAATGGGACGACATCCACAGCGGCTTGGAAGAGAAATATGGGCCTCTAGCCAGCTTTTCCGCTCAAGTCATTGCTCCTGTAACAAGGTAACAGGTTGACACTATGAACTCTACAAGGACTCAGGTAATATGTCATCTGTGGATACTCCCTGAGCAACATAATTGCTTAAACTGTAGTTCCAATACAACAAAAAATGAATCAGAATGTTCAAGGCCTCGAGACTGAGGAAGTCACGGCTGGAGAGGACAGGAATATTGCTGATGCCAATAACAGCACGTTTCAAGCTCTCGTAAGCCCCAGCTACTGCACTAAACATACACATATGTTTAAACACATATAGAGCATATACATAACATTTTATTTATCAGACACATATGATATACACATATAGCATCTTATCAAAATAAATGAAGTTTGCTTTGTAAAAAACAAAGATCCTAGTTATCTCAGTGGTAGCATTATCCCCATTTCAGAGATGAGAAAAGCAAGTGAACCCCAAGTGACCTGTTATGATATACCAATGAGTAAGTAGTACAGCTGGAATTCCAAAAAGTAGCCCAAGACGTTCCTCAGGTTGCCCCAATTTATTTTTTATGACACCTTTATGCATTTTTATTCTTATCTGTGTTTTCTAGTTATGCTACATAAAACATGTATTATTGTTTAAAACTGTACACCAATACATTTTTTTTTCAAAGAAAATAAATCCAAAGACATAAAACCAATTCTCCCAAAATGCTAAAAAAGAAAGGATTGGTAAGGACATTTCGGAAAGATGTCCCGCGTAAAGAAAGCAGGTAAGACAAACGTCTATTTTAACTGTACTGAAATCCGTCTTTTGAAAGAGCGAGAAGTGGAACTAGAGACACCCAAGCTTAGGAAAGGCCCATTCCCCGCAATCAGGCCACCGTTGTGGACATGGGCTCCGAGGGACTCAGCGTCAAACACGTGAAGAAAGGAACTCGCTAACGGAGACAGGAGTGACACTGTCTGAAGTGACTGGACTGGGAAGTTTTAACACACAATGATCCCTCTAGATTCTAGAAGAAACCTCAACAATACAGTCAAGAAAGATTGCAATTCTTCCCCCAGTCCCCTCAAAAAAGGATCCGCACCCTCCCGACTTCCCAGGCCCCCTTTCCAGCCAGGCAACGGAGCTGGCAGGGACCTCACCTTCAGGCAGGTGGCAAGACCTCACCTGGGATGTTGTGTATGGTGATGGCCAAGATGAGCAGCGCGATCCTCCTCCAGCTGCTGTCACTGCGAGGAGCCAGGTTCCCTGGAGAAGGCATGGGGACAGCAGGGCCCTCTGGAAGGCCGGTGGCCACCACCTTCCTCCTCTGGTATGCCTCACCATTCTCACTTTTGTCTGAGCAAAAAGAGAGGGACGGGAAGAGAGAGCACTTTGAACATGAGTGAACACTTTGAACTTGGGCAAGCAGCAGCAGGAGGAAGCTTTCAAGACCAGGATATGAGCTACTTCCTAACTTCTAAATGGACCGTGGATTCTTCTGCATGCTTCTTCATCCCTTCGCTCACTCACTCATCCATTTGTTCACTCATTCAGCAAACTTTCACCGAGGAGACATTCAGTGCCCACTGTAACGGTACTGACAAGGGTAAGGAAGGTGAAAACAGCACGTTAGCAGTGCCTATCTTGGAGAAGCCATATTCAGCTGTGATCAGAAGCACAGATTCTAGAACCAGACACCAGCTCACAAGCTCTTGAACCTCTTTGTGCCTTACTTTCCTGGTTCGCAAAATGGGATAACAGTACCTACTTCTGAGAAGGGCTACTCAGAAGGGGTTTTTCAAGGATTAAAGGAGAGGCTGCATGAAACTACTCAGACTACCCTGAATGCTGTGTGCGTGGACTGTGGCAGCGTCACGTGCCCTTCTCTCCCACAGCCCACGGAAGTCTATCACGTGAGACTGCTCTCCTGGTCACAATAACTCAGGGGGCACCTATTCCAATGCCAGGCTCAGCCAATGAGATTCTCTCTCAGGGATGGGGACTGGAATGGGGAAAGAGCCCGGGACTCTAGTGTGGGTTCTCAACCAAAAGGTCACACGATATGAGGGCAGCCATGACGTACCATGCATGCATGGAACAAGGCAGCAGGTTGGAGACACACAGGAGGAAGCAGGTACCCACAGACAAGTAGAGATGGGAAATCATGTGTCCAGAGACAGGCCGAGAGACAGACGAATGGCAGCCCGGATGCAGTAAGACCTTCTGACCTCCATGAGCTGACCTCAGTAGCCAGCCCTTGACTTCCATGAACTAACCCTCCTTTTACAAAGTCCCTTTTGAGAACACAGTTGAAGGGTGTCATTTCTTAGGACCAGAGAGTCCCAAACACCACTGGTCTCCTGGATCATTTGTTTATTCCTACTGGAGGTAATATGCCTGGATCGAAATACAGGTGAGGCTGAGCAGCCAGGCTGGGGGTCACGGCATGAGTGGATCTATGAGAGAGGCTTCCCAGAGCTGGGGCGGTGAGCAAATCTAAAATACACAGGGGCACGAATGGAACAGAGAGCCTTTCGACCATGAGAACATGAAAAGCATAGCTCAGCTGTCACGGACAGGTCACCAGAACATGCTTTTAGGGAACCCACCACGACCAGGGTAACCACACATCCCAGTGTGGCTTTGCTACCACAGCAGGGCCATTGGTGCCCCTTTCACTCTCAGAAGCGTCCTGGTCTGGAGCATTAATTATGTGGCTCCCAAGCTGCAGAAACCACAGAGGCCTGGTGGGGGGACCTCTCTCACTGAGGTCAGAGGTCACCAACCTGCAGGGCAGGAGGCAAGCTCTATGCCCCTCCTTCCCTTCTCTACTCACACATTTTCCACAACTGAATGAACTCTCACCTCCAAGCTGAAAGCTACAGAAAATTTTCCCGAAGTGCAATGAAGAAACGAGGGGAACTTCAGGGATTCCTTTCTCTCCGACCTCACTCCCTGCTATAATGCAAGGCGAGGGTGGATTATCCTGCCCTCGTGGTGCCTCATTTAAAGACTAGACTCTCAGTCCATAAACTTGCCCACGTCCTTGATTCCCTTTTCAGATAAACTGCCCAAGTGGAATACTGTTTTATATTTCAAAATCAAGAAAAGAAAAAAAAAAACTTTGAGAATGATTTTGGGTTTATTTACTCAAATCGCGCCAGCAGGGCTTAAAGAGTGCGAGGACACCAGAGACAGGTGCAGCCCTCCCCAGTCCTGGCGGGCCCTCTCCCGGGAACAGCTGACTCCCGGTTCCATGAGGGAGAAGAGGCCTTGTATGGATCCCTGGGAGCGCAGGCCCGCCAGCCCTCCTGCAGTCAGCCGCCTCAGCTCGTACACCGGCCTCTGGGGGGGGCACACAACCGTCTCCGCTGGACGGCAACCCCTCCAGGCAGTGTTTGCACACTCAAAGCTAGACACCCTCTGTGTGGCATCTGTATGTATGTGCACACATGAGTGTGCAAGCATATGAGTGCCACGTGGTACAGTCTTGCTTGCCTCAGATATCAGACAGCCTTCATGTATGTTTGCATATGTGCGCATGTATATACACACGGGGGGTGGGGGTGTTGCTGTATGTTTAAAGTTGACGACATCTAACAACTCAAGCTGCAGAGGCTAGATGGGAAATTGAACTAAATATCTGGGATTTCAAGCGCATGAATACTAAAGCCACGAGCCAGCAGAGTGGAGGGCTGTGCAGGAAATAAGCTGCACCATGGTGGAGGCCACCCTGGCGTCCCCTGGGCCAGCGGTGGGCGTCACTGCCTCCTTGGGCCTCCTCTGAGCTCACTGGCCTGACCTAGATGCTCTTCAGTGGGAAAAAAAACAACCAGAAAATCCAACTCTTCCCTTTAGAATTTTATAATTTAAGCGATGACAGACAGGGAAGACATAAATAAATTCCTTTAAGTCTAAGGAGCAGAGCTAACTCAGTCTCTAACAAGTGATGAAGGCTGGGCTGGTTTTTGTTAGTGATGCAGAGGGCTCAGATTCTGAACCTCCTGCAAACAATGTCCAGAGAGCCACAGAGATGAGACACCCCCAGCACACCCCACACCACAACATCAAGCACAAGGCATCGTGGACCGAGGGAAAGGAGCCTGCCTCGTCTTGGGCTCCCAAGGCGTGAGTCCTTCTCCCGTGGGAAGCGGGACGCTGTGAGCCCCCGATGTACTTCTGAAAGTTAAATACGCCACCACGAGTGAGCCTGCAATGAGGAAAATCCACCCAAATAAACCATGAATGTACAGAGGTGTCCTGAGTGAAGACTGTTCTTGCCTCTCCTGGTTAGGGTTGGATGAACCATCGCATCCCATCAGGTGAAATGGCAGTACCTGGTATGGGGACATAAGTGGGGCACAGTGACAGGAACCCAGGAGATTTCTTGAAATAGGGAAGATTTGGACACCTGTGAAGTAGGACTGGGAAAGAGGAAGGACATTTAGGGATGGAATAGCTGATGTCGAGGCAGAAATAGAAAACATCGATGACACTGGCTAGTAGGTGATACTAAGGACTTAGCGTAATACTCACAATCCTTACAAAAGCCCTGTGAAGTAGAGATCGCCCCCTTAACTAATGAGGAGCTTGAAGAGGAGAAAGAGGGGGGAACTGGTCCCAGGTCACAGAGCCCTGAGTCAAGCCAAATCCTCTACCTGGAAACTGCCCCTTGGCCGACTGGCGCGGCGGCAGAGTGCTGCTCTCCTGTGCTCTCCAAAATGTGCAGTGTGTGCAGTCACTGTAGTGGCATTTAGGGGCCTGAAACCCCAGAGGTTTCAGTTCAGAGATGTGTACATGGCAGAGAGGTCACTCTCCGGTGAGTGACAAGAGAAATGGACAGCTCAGTGGAAGTCTCGAATCTACCATCATTCCCACTCACAGACAAACACAAAAACAGTTTCTTAACCCAATCAACCTACCATTTCTAAGTATAAGTAGTAAATACTTATCAACACTGAATATGGAATCCAGGGCTACAGTTCCTTCAGGAGGGTAGAAAAGAACCACTTCAAAGTAGATCATCATCAAAAAACCTTTTTTTACATCTGAACATAAGCATCTAAGAATCCGCACAAAGACGGAGGCCCCTGCTAGACCTCAGCCCGTGGTCCTGCCCCTTCATCTTTGCCATGGGGGCATCACATAGCTGCATTTAAGAATGAGGACCCCAGGCAAACAGACAGACCAGTCCAAGGGTCACTCTTCCCACTGGATCACAGGGTGACCTGATGTGACACAGTGACTTCCTGGTTTCCTCTCCCAGAAACAAGGGACACAATTCTTGCCCCAACACATTGTATCACTGGGTGAAAGCAGACAGGGGCCTGGGGGCACAAGCCAGGGGCCACAGCCAAGGAGACCTGCTACATGGGCGAAGCCTGCCACTCAGGGCTTTGGCTCTTCCCCTGCGAAGGGAATGGCCCCGATGTCTACAGGTCAGTGGGTAGAACCCATCTGGAAGCTACCATCTTCTCTCCAGCAAAAAGGAAAATGTACCAACATGGTTTTAAGTGATTTCTGAATTCTTATGGAATCAAGGACCTTTGTTTTTCATAGCCCATGGGCCCAGTCCCACCAGAGATGCAGGGTGTCTGAATCTAATAGGCCTCCCAAGAATACGGCAACACTAATTAACACATCACCAGCCACGAGAGCTTTAAAAATCATCCCCAAGATATCACTGGAGACGATTTGGTTGAATTAGAACAAATAGGCAAATCCTTAGCTGATTAAGTGCAGAAAATTTCAAATCCCTGGAAAAAATACCTCCTCTGAAAGCTGAGCCCCTGTTACAAAACAAAATGAAGAGTAGTCAGCAATACGTATTCACTGTGTACGGTGTGTGCATAAACAAAATCAAAAGGCCGACCGAAAGCGGGGAGAGAGGAGGGTCCTTGGGCTAACATTACCTTTCCTTTCTTCTTGTTTTCCAGAGAACCAGAATGACTTGGGGGAAGAAATTCAATTATCTACACGAGTGTGACAATGCTTGCTAAGAATATGGTTCTGTTTCTTTACTCATTTATGGGACTAGCATGACTTTCTTTATATATTATAATTAATGCTGAATTTGAACATGAACTAATTACTCAACAATTGTTATATCAACCTGGCAGATGGAGAAACCAAGGCCCACAGAGGCCCTTCTTGCTGGTCCCATGGGAATTTAAGAAAGGCCAGGGTGGTTCCCTGTCTTGTCAGAGGGCCCTTCAGCTTGGAGACATCTAAATTTAAAGCCTATGACTGTCTCTAAACCTATCCATAACTCTCCTACTGTTTCCTCTTTTAAAGCTATAAACATAACCTCATTAAAGACCCTTGCCCAAACATATAAAATCCCCAGTATCCCTAAG